GTATGCTCTATCCAAGCTTGCTTCGGATTTCCCTTGGCATGTATATATTGTACATATTACAAAGTTAAAATTATTTTTTACTTATTAAAAAATGCTTTTTCCTGTTTGCTACCTCCTAAAAGTAAATTATACTGGAAGTTCTTTCAAGGCACATGCCTTAGTGAGGAACAAATGCCTTTCTTGTCAAGAAGACATAGATCTGAAACACGTATTCGTTCCAACCCCTATAATTCAATTTGTTTTATTTCTTTAAGAGCATGAATACAATAGACCCTTTCATATCTGTTTTTTTGGAAAACAATTGTTTCAATACCGGTATTTAGAATATATTTTGTAAGGGCATCAATGAGAAAATTGTAGTAAAAAAAAACAATAATTAAAGAATTCTATGATTATGTTTTTGAACCTGTGCAGTGTTGAAACTTTAATTTTTTTTTAAACTTGTTTCATCAGTATTTTAAAGAAGTTTTTAGTTTTTTAAATATTTTTATTAAATAATAATACAATCAGCCATTATTTGGAGGGCAATAAGCATTAAGGCTAAAAGATCTGATTCAAGCAATATATACAAATAATCGAAAAATAATTATAAATATTAAAAAAGTAAATAAATATACAGATAAAAAAAGTGATTAAATATGAAAAAAAAATAAAAACTTTTAAACACATTCATACCTATACACAATATATACATTCTCTCTCTCTGAAGGAATCTCTGAGCCAGGATTTGTCTACCTCAAGTCCGCAGGTCCAGATAGGTTTCAGTATGGTCTTGTAGATTAATAGTTTGTTTTCAGTTGAGAGATGAGATGTTCTGTTAAGTAGTCTATATAGCTGACCAAGTTAAGTTCTTGTCTTTTAAGCCTGGTATGTGGGTTCCAAGTTAGTCTTTAGTCTAGAAGGAAGCCAAAGTATCGGACTGTGTCTGTGTATTCAAAGCCATTACAATGTCCTCAATATTTGTTTTAAAAGCTCCAAATCATATCTAGCCCAATTTTCTTTAGCATCTTCAGCGAAAGTTGAAACATCAGTGGCACCGAGACATTTTGTAAATGAATAATGGAGTTACGTCCTGGCCGAATTCTTCAATCAAATCCTAAGCATATTCACAAAGCCTAAAATTGCATTTAATATCGGAAAGTTGTGTGGGAAAATCATGCCGGTAGTTTACAACGATTCATTTTAATATCAAAGAAGATAATGGCCCGTCTCGCTGATAACCAAGAAATGTTTCTAATCTTGTTTTTTAATTTAATAATTATTGCTAAAAAAATAAAATAATAAAAAATAAAGTAGGTTAAGTTTATTATGGGTTTAGAAATGGTAAGTGTCGGATATTATCATTTCTATGAAAACATTAAAATAAAAAATAATATAGAAATATTACATGCTCTTCTTTGGTAGAAATTTAAGTAAATTTTTGTAACTGTTTAAAATCAATTGTCTTGGGCATAGATAAGGTGATTCATTGATGCAATGATCTATTTCCTATACTGCCTTCCAATGTGGAAGAATGTATTTATTTTCAACTAATAAAATAATAAATAAATAAAATTAAAAAAATTCCTACAAGGCAGGTCAATATTTAATTTTGCTTTATCTAATTTTCCTTCCATTCAAATACCACATTTTTTGAGGTTTATTATAAATTAGTAATTTATAATATACTTATAAATATTATAAATAATATAATTATATTACAATATAATTTAATTTATGTTATTATTATGTAATTTTATTTTTATCGATTGCAATCTCATGTTATATACTTTTAAAAATATAAATTTGGGCATGATGTTTCCGATGTATTTCGAAACTTGAAATAAAAGGGTATAAGCGCGTGAGGAAGAAACCTTCGTTACAGGGCAACGGTTAGAGTTTGAGGGGTATGACTATAGCAATTAATTACATTTTTTTAAAAAGCCGATATGATCTATGTTTGACTATGATCTATTTTTGATATGATATGATCGGTAGTGATACTTTTATGACACTTTTAAAAATCATACGTGATCTGATTAAAGTTCTACAATTTGTCACAGTTTAAGGACACTTATAATAGAGTTCAGAGAGTGCATTCATACCATATATACAAAAATATAAATAAATAAAGTAATAACAAAAGAATAAGAAAAAAGAACAAAAGAGTAAAGAACATAACTATCTGATTTGGGTACCATTTTTTTTCAGAACACTTTGAAAAAAACAAAACAATAAATCCCAAAATGATAAATTTTTTCGACTTTTTGTATTCAAAGCCTAAACGTTTCTTCGAACCAGAGATAAAAAAACCTCATTTGACGTTGGGAGACATGTATTAGGATGTCCCTCAAGTTACTTTCTTTTTTGTTTAAGGTTGATTTACTGTGTTATATCTGAACCATTAAGTTCTGCTCTATTACTTTCTTCCATCTCTCAGAAAACCTCTTATACACTTTTTTCCAAAACTGTTGAGACTTATTTGCAAAATATTCATCAAGATGCGTTTTTATTTCGTTTTCGAGTTTGTGACATTTATTACGGAATATGCCGCATCTTGAGTTGGCCCTAAGACAGAAATTCTTACAGTTTGATTGGGACTTTCTACCCCATTCTCCGTAGCCCCCCCAAACCTTGCCCAATCCAAATATTACTTGTTTCTTTCGTTAAAAAAATCTCTTCGTGATAAATGCCACAAATACGAAGGAACTTATGAGTAAATGATACTAAATGAAGCCAACGAAAGGAACTTCTCTAAAGCGGAAAATTTAGTAAACCCTATCAAATTCTAAATTATTTTGTTAGTATTAAGGTCTTCCGAATATCTGACGCTCTATATATTGGATATGGACGGGTTCGACGCAAATATTTTGATTAATTTTCCCGAAGAGGAAATTACTAAAGCTCATATTATAAAGAACATATATTTTGGCGTAGAAATGGTAAACCGTGATAACGATATAAAAAGGAGTTGGTCGGGGGTGAGGGGGTGAAGCCCTCTCCTCCCCCCCCCCTAAAAAAAAACATTAAATCCTGAATCCGCTTGTGGCTCGTGGTTTATCAAAAAGGTCTATCTTCAATCTTTAAGCCAGTATTTTGCAAAGTGGCTACCGAATCATCTTTTGGATTATAAAACTCTATATTACAAGTGAATTAAGTAAATTTGGAAGATGGAATTTGCGATAACTTGTTCTCTCTTCTTTCGTATTAAAAGGAAATAAATTAAAAAAAAATATTTAAGTAAAAATTACATTGTCGTTGTGAATTCGGTAATATCTTATGCTCCTAACCTATTGTGACGGAACTTATGTGTCAAGCAGTGGTCTTGAAGAGCTTAGGATAAAAAAAAAAGTCGGGGAGTCAGTTTCATATTGACAGCTTGTGCGGCGATAATAATCGGTGTTACATGTTTGTTTTATTCTGTTGTGCAGATAAATTTTATAGTTTTATAATGGATTTCGATTTAGTCTTATTCCGGGTTAAATTCTGCTGAGTTCACCAGCTCGAAATCCGGCGCCACTTATCCATACGGAAGGTTCTCTTATAAAGTTGAACCAATGCCTCCTTAATTAGAAGATATGTAGAGGTTAAATATCGCTAAAAGAGGATCTTTCAAATAGGGAAATTATTTGAGGGAATATAAGTTCAATTAGGATCATTCTTCAATTTCAAGTTAATTAAATATCTAATTGTAATTTAGTTTGAATTTACTTAGAGCAAATATTTTTTTAAAATTTCATTCTGTTATATTTTTGCAAAAAATTTTGGGAAATTTATTTTGAAAATTAAGTATTATATATATATATATATATATATTTTTTTTTTTTTTTTAAGAAAAATTATATAAACTTTTTTGGTTGATTTTTTTTTAACTTTTAGAATAATCCAATGCCAAGAGACTAACTAATTTTTAAGATTAAAAATATATTGCTATAAAACTTTTTAATATCCTTGTAAGGAACACTGAGTCATCAAAAGTAGGAAGTATTCAGTCACGTGCACAACCATTGATAATCTATTACAAATTAAATTTATTAAACAAAAATAAAAACATTTATTTTGGTAAATCATTAATATATATATTTTTTTTCATTTCATTTCGTTAACATTACGAACAAAATGAAGGCACGTGTGGAGCAATATTAACAAATTATAGTTAGTAAAATTAAAATTTAATTTATAACATGAAGGTTAATTTTTTTTTTTATCAAACAGAATGTAAGAAATGTGGAAGTTTTCCAATTCTATTAAGTATTATTTTAAATGAAATTAAAAATATGTTTACTAAATCGGTGGAATTCGTATTTTTCCTCCCAAAATTCAATCCAATTTATTTTATTTCTTGTAAATTATTCTCGACTTTTATTTCTACTGTTTTCTAATATACTTATATTCTATTTTCTTATATACTTATCTCCAATCCTTCATACTCAAAATTTATGAGATTAACTTCTTTATTAAATATTAATTGTTTTTGCTTTTAACTATAATATTTTTTTTTAAGATATAAATTAATAATGACGTTTCACCACCTTCTAAGGCTTATAACTTTGTAAATTATTATTTAAGTATTATTGAATTTTACCTTTTTTTTTTAATCACTTTTTTTTGTAACTTATTTAAACATCAACTGCCGTGTAGCATTTCATTAAATCACAGGTGACTTATTGGGTTTTGTAATACATTACCTTTTATTTTTATCTATTTGCTAATAAGAAATCGATCCAGTAAAAATAAATCCTAACACATTTTGAATATTTAGGACTAAACATCGGCAAATATAATAATAAATATCATTTGTTTATTTTTAAGTTGGTTGTTTTTGACTGAAGAGCCCAACCAACTTCTCTTCAATTATTCACTATAGTCAACCAATTATAACACTATTACAAACACATTTTGCTTTGAAATTCACATTGCATGTTTATGATTAAATTATAATTTACGCCATTCGATAGCCAAGTAAAGATAAAATAGGTAATAAAAATAATTATCTGATTTGCTTGTATTTCTCTACTTACAGTTCGATGATTCGTACTCTATAGAAATACCAATGTCTTCTCAACACTTCTTTTCATCACTCGTTCAACTATTTTTTTTTATGAGAAAATAATTATAACGATAAAAAATAAATAAATATTGATGTAACAAAACGAGGAAACTATGCAAAAAAAAAACACGATTTTATCTGAAGTTCGAACGATGTGTCCCAATTAGCTTCTGGGAAGCGACTAATGCCTTCCAGCTGGTTTAACCCCTCCCTACCCTTTCTCCTACCCCCTTCTCCAGCTTAGTTTATATATATATATATATATATATATATATATATATATATATATATTTATATATAAATATTAAATCAATCTTTGCATTATTTTTGTCAGGTCATAACAATTTAATTAACATCTAAGTTCTGCCAAATTTTTTAAAAGTTAGCAAACGTCGGATCTTCTATTAAGTCGATTTCCGTCCGTTTTATTTGTGTCTTCAATAATAAATGCACGAATAGCGATTAGAAACTTATAGAATTTCTTATGAAATAGAGAATCTTTATTTTTATGAAACTTTGAAAATATTTTTTGAGTTATAACTTGTTTATTGAGAAATATTTACAATCTGTCTCAATTAAGATTAACAGAGTTTAGACAACACATTCACACCATATTAAGAGAAATATAAATAAATATAGTAATAACAATATAGTACACAGAAATAAAACAGCATACGGAGAATGAAAACAACTTATATATAAATAAATAAATAAAATAAAATGTACTTAAAAGAATAAAATAAACATCTTAGACACAGGCATACCTACATGCTCTGTCGCAATATAAGAACATTTAATAAATTGATTTAACAAAAAACAAAGAAACATAAGCTGGTAATATAGAATTTGATTACTTCGTAAAATAGAAAAGTCTTACTTCGTAGACCACGGGCTTCTAAAAGGAGTAGAATTCTTTCTGCTCTTTTTGTAAGTGTTTTTTTTTTTTTGTTTTTTTTTTGGTTCTTGTTGTTTTATCTTTTATCTGTACTTAGTCATTTACGACATACGAAGGGAGGAGAGGAGTGTATCGTACAGGTAACCATTTCAGGTTTCCTATCTACTTTCTTATCTGCATATGTGTGATATTTTCTTTTCTGTCCTGATGATGTTTGAATTGGCGAAACGTTGGCAAGTTAACTGATCGTCTGTATGGTAGAAGCTCATAGCTTCGTGGATTGAATTTTTCCATTTGTATCCTAATATAAATCATCATTCACAAAAAAAAAAAAAAAACTTTTTTGGCATATTAGCCAAAATGCCAATCCATACAAATGAAGTGCTAAACAGTTTATGTTATTTGATATTATGAGCCTAAATAAAGCGAAAATAATTTATGGTTGATGAGTTCATGAAAGGATAGTAGGAATTGTAGTAGGGAGGAGTTTATTGTTTTTGATGAGGGAATAGTAAAAAGAATCACAGTCTTCAGATGTGTTTAAACAAGAGAGGAGAACATGGATGTCATCGCTGATTGAGGAATTGGCGGAGGTGCAATAAAACTCATTTATTTCTGTCAGATTTACATGTGTTAAAATTTAATCTAGCTTGTTAAGTTATTTCATCTTTATATTTCCTGTATATATGGTGTGAATGTGTTCATATATCACTATAATTATTTTCCACGAGACAGATTATTATATGTCTAAATAAATAAATAAAATAAAAAAAAAAACCTGTTTTCCTGAGCATAGCGCAATCTTCAATCCGACAGTATTTTCATAAAAAGCGCCACTCACAACATTGTAGTCGACCCTAATATCGATTAAAGCAGAAAAGTTACAAAAACGTGAAGCGCAATCACGCAATCTTAAATCCGACAGTATTTTTCATGAAATGAGCTCCCGTCATTATAGTCGACCCTAATATCGATTTTTAATTCGAAATATTTTAATAAATCGATAATTTATTGATTTATGTTAATATGGATAGTAGTTTTAAAATCTATGACTTCCAGAACATTAGAATCGACTTGCGTAAGGAAGAAATATAAGAAATTCTATTCCAGTAATTTGTAGAATGAAGTACTCGATTACTTTGTAAAGTACACGAAGTAAAATAATTCTGAGTAGATGTGAAAATGGAAAGTATTCACGAGGACAGCTAAGTACTTTTTATACTCGTCAATCACATGAGGTCGAGTAGTGATTGAAGTACTGGGTACTCGAATCGCGCGACTAGCTCATTAAAATACTTTGTAATTTGTTCTTTTCACTCTTAGTACTTTTTTCCAGTCTTGAGGTGGAAATAAAAAAAAAAAAAAAAATGCTAAACTATTTTTATTAGTAATATTTTTTGATATTGAAAAATGTTAATAAATTGATTTATTTTTTTTTTTTGCTTTTATTATTTTCTAATAACCTACTACAAATCTAATACGTTAACCATCCCTCCCCCCTACTTTTTAAGATCAAAAACATCGATATATTTTCATGATATTTACATCCCAACTTTTCATAAGTTACGGAATGGACTTAATCCGTAACAACTATTAATATTAATTTAACTTTTATTTTATTTAGTATGCCAATTGGTGACTCATGCATTGACCTTTCTCATGACTTTTATCAAAGCATAAAAGCACAAAGCCCTAGATAGCCAGGTCAAGCTATCTCTGATAGCTTAGAAATAGTTATCTAGAATGTACTGACTGGACAGAAGACACTTATCAAGACTTAGGGAACAATAACCGTTTTCAACAAAAGAGCACTTTCTAAAAGACTTCATATCAATTCTAAAAGATAAGGATATCAATTCTTAATAGTTAATACTTCATTCACACGCTTCCTAGACCGTCCAGAATTGATTCATCCCCCCTACTATTCCTGAGTGAATAACCCCCTCAGACCAAACCACTCATGTAGTTAATTCTCTTGATGTCATACTCTTTTCTGCAGGAGACCTGGAGTGAACTCATGTAGCCAACCCATATATCCATAGTATATTACTCTGTATTTTAGATGCCATTTGTAAATTTATGAATAAAAACATTACTTATAAAGTCTCCACTGCCTCCGATTCGTTAACTATAGATCAAAAATATCGTAGTCCGGAACATCAATATTTTCGTTTGGATATATTAAAAAGAAATGTTAAAACTGTTTTATTTTCATTCCTAATCTGCGCCCACACCTGCTTGGCCATCACGCAATCGATGGAACATATCGAATCCACCCAAATCAGATCTTAAACTCTACAATTATTCCAGATAACAACATATAATTTTCTAGGGGGTCTAATGGTATTATAGAAGGGGCTGAAACCTCCCCATTTTTGTTTTAATACCGCTTCTCGAACGGGGCGAATATGACCCATTGTCATACAAACAGTTAAGAACCAAAGTAATTAAAAGTTATCAGTTCTCCAGGTTCCTACGTCAACTCCGAACAGCAATCAAAGACAAATAAGCGTTAATATATACCAGATCTAGACAAAAAGTATTTTAATTATTATTTTAAAATACAGCATTTAAAATACCAAATATTTTATATTTTAATTTTGAATATTCAAAAACAAACATAATAAAAATATGAACTAACTATGTCCCATGAAGTGGCGCTTTACAACTAATTCATTAAGAAATAGTTTCTTTTTACTGGGGAAAACAGTTATGAAATTATAATACAGTAAGTATAAGTGACGTTTATTACGTCAAAGATAATTGTATTACAAATTTAATACGTAAAAAGTTTTAATCTGGATTCTCACAAAAGAGAATTCTCGTGAAAAAGTTCTTCAAAGTACTTCAATGGAAACCTACTGAATATAGTAACTTATTTTTGTATTTAAAAAAAATAAATACAATACATTCATGGTATTTTAGTAACTTAGCAAGAAAAAATAACTATCACTTTTGTATTCTGTATTAAAAAATAAATTGCAGCCACAAACAATCTATTTTATATTTTACTTCATAAATTACAAAATAATAATGTTTTATTTGAACTACAGTCCAAGTCTAATATATATGAAATAAAACACAATATATGTAATATATGAAATCTAAATACTTTCAAGTAAGGTAAATAAATACGAAAGGCAATAAACAGTACTGAATCACAGAATAGTTTTTAATAAACAGAATAAAAGCAATTCTGTTATAATTAAAAGATTAACATAACCATTCATAGACAATGAACGATCTAAATCTATAAATTACCCAGTTTAATAAAACTAGTTTAAGATAAAAAACGCCATTGCCAATTTTGAATATTTCCTTGTAATTCGAGTTGCTCATATTCACGAAATGAGGCAGACAATAAAGGCGGAAAGAATTATTAATCGGGCACGAATTATTAATACTATATACCATAGTATTATATATATGGAATTATATAATATATAACTTATTTGTCCCGGAATAAGTAAATAAAGTATTATTATATTGTTCGTTCTACAATATTTATACTAATTATAATTGTGATTATGTTAATTCATTTAATTAATTAAATTTAACGGACTTCTGTAAGAATATTGACAAAATTGTCAATATTCTTTTTTAAAACTTATCTTCGGTTCACAGTTTCTCAAGGAAAATTAAGGGTTCTAGGTGACGATTGAAAACAAAAAAATCAGGTGTGCCCACTCACACGACTTTCCTACATATTTCAGAAAAGTTTTTATATCTTTACATATGTCCACCAAGTAGTGTTGCCCAAAATCGGTCTTGGTCTTGCACTTTGCAAGACCAAGACCAAGGCCGCCTAACTGTTGCAAGACCAAGACCAGGACTGATAAAAAAAAAATCGATGTTTTAATAAAAAAATTAAGGCAAAATAGTTACTAATACTCGACAATGTTAGTTACTATATGTAAATAATTGGTATAACCAATATAGTTTTGCATTTAATTCCTCTAATTTTTCATTCAGGCTTAGTTAGGTTTCTCCTATCTACAAAATACAGTACTGTAAGACTGTTGCGAGACTCCTGTGCAAGACCATGACCAAACTGAATTTGCAAGACCAAGACTCGTCTGGGTCTCGCATTTGGGCAACACTACCACCAAGAAACAAATAAAATTGAATTAGATTTATTTTTCTGAAAATTGATGAAATAAAAGATTTGAGTACGATTTATTTGATAATATTTACAAAATGGCTTCAATTGACCTTTGAGTGTTATATTTTATTATTTTATTGGGAATAAGGTCACTTATTATTTTTTATTATT